TGTGGTGCTGAGGATCGAACCCGGGCTGCACGCATGCCAGGCGAGCGCGCTACTGCTTAAGCCACATCCTCAGCCCACTTAATATTTTTGAATTAAGCAATAAGTTTATTTAGTGGTAGCTACTTTAAGTAAATAAAGCAATTTTGAGCTCCTACCAAGTGCAAGGAATAAGTAAACAATATCTTTGGCTTGCAATTCTAGAAGTTGGTGTCTCTCTTTAACTTCCACAACTATGACAACCTGAGGCACTGTGCTCGGAAATTAGACCCACGACGTGAAGGGGGAGAAGTTCGGGTAAGGAAAACCCCAGGTTCCTTATAAGATTATTTCTAAACAGAATATGATGTAATGCTTCATTGCCTAAGCATCCATGGAGGTCATCACAAGGCAGAACTAGGCAAGGGCAGAGTCAAAGCCACAATTAATCTCAGATGGCTATGATTTGCCTTCCAGAACAAGACTGTGGTAAACCTGTTGTTTGCTGCCTATAGTGGAGATGTCTCAGCTCTTCGAAGGTAATTTTACCATAACCAGATATTCACAGTAAAAATACTGCTGTTCAGAGATCTTATTAGGGGCCACATAGCAAAACAGTTAAGTGCTTCAGCTTGAGGCCTAGACCAAATGGATGTAGATTTAAGTGTTTTGTTGTTTTTTTTTTAAACAAAGTATCTACCACATAAGAACTTAATAAATGACAGTGTTATTAACTTGAGTGTTAAGGGCATAGTTAACTTGCCTCAGTGGATTACCAACATCAACAACCATGTAAGCAATAATGCTTTTGGAAGCATCACAATCTCATTTCTCTGAAGTGGGAATTACAGTCTCATCTAGAACAAATTATATAGCCTTCAGATTGTAGCATTAACCGTTTCACTTTTTCTGGAGTCCATCCAGTCTGACTCCACATTAGAAAGGACATTAGTGATTACAGACTGATCTGGGTAATCCTAGCCACTTTCTACTACCTCAGGTTTGCCTTGTCAGCCATGGATATGGAACAGAAAGACTATGACTCCCGCACAGCTCTACATGTTGCTGCAGCTGAAGGTATCTGAAGGATTTAAGTGGGTGGCAGAGCATAAGCCCCTTTCTTTTCTACTAAGATACCCTGTTTTATGTGTCTTCAAGGTTCCAGGGCCAACAACTAGTTCTGACAATTCAGCTGGCAGCCAAACTGTTATTGAGTGTTTACAGGGAGCAAAATGGAAAGAGGCCTTTTCTCCTCTCAAAACAGTCTCTGGCTGTCAAGGGTCTGTACAAAAGGGTTTAAGATCTGTATCCTATCATTTTCCTTCTGCCCCTATTCCTAGGACACACAGAAGTTGTTAAATTTCTGATCGAGGCTTGCAAAGTGAACCCTTTTGTTAAGGATAGGTAAGAAAAATTAGGCTAAAAAGGGGGAGGGTTGGGGCTGGGTTGGGGCTCTGTGATAGAGCACTTGCCTAGCATGTGTGAGGCATTGGGTTTGATTCTCAGTACCACATATAAATAAATGAATAAAGGTCCATCACCAACTAAATATATATTTAAAAAAAAAAAAAAAGTGTGCCGGGGACATGGAAGGGAGGGTGGCACAGCTTCTCCAACACTGCCCACTACCCACCATGCACAGATATACAACTACATCACTCTTAATGTCTCCTTTGCCTGATCTTGCTCATTGTTCCTCAGGTGGGGCAACATTCCCCTGGATGATGCTGTGCAATTCAACCACCTGGAGGTGGTCAAACTGCTTCAAGATTACCAGGACTCCTACACACTCTCTGAGACTCAGGCTGAGGCAGCAGCTGAGGCCCTGTCCAAAGAGAACTTAGAGAGCATGGTTTGAGAATAACAGATCATGGACAGTCCCTGCTTAAGAAAAAAGCATGTGCTGGCCACACACTTAATCCATAACTACCAAAAAAGTATTAAGGAGAGTTTCTTCAGTGGGGACCAAGAAAGCCATTGTGACATAGGCCAGTGCTTTCTATGAGAGTTAAAATACCCCTTTCCTCAAGGGATACCACTTGTAGAGCTATCCATGGACAGTCTGCATTATGGTCTAATGGCTTGGTCCACTCAAAACCATCACAGGTCTTCAGCCAAGTCCTCTCTTGAAGAAACCACACTTCGACGGAAGGACTCTAGCTACCATGCACATGTATAAATCACAGTGAGAGAAAGAGGGAGCCTATGTACCCAGCTTTAGTAGTCTGGAGAGATCAGTCCCCCTTGGCCAGAACCTGCTGCTGCTACTGCTAATAGCAATTTTATAGACAGAGAAAGTATTTTATGCTCAAATAAACTTTAATTACACAAATTACTTTTGTTAAACTCAGTCATTCTCTTTTTTCCTCAGGTATTCCAGCTTTATCACCATCATAGAAGGTAGAATAAAATAGAACACAGGGTCAGACAGAGCCCAAACAACACACATTTCATGTACATAGTCACTTACTTCACCCTCAACCCCAAGTATGGTTTTAGGATCAGTGTATTATGTTGCTAAGAGGAATGAGTGTTTGAGTCTCAATAGACCCCAAAATGGACTATGCAAAACCTTAGGCCGCCTTCCTTCCTCTGGAGTTTTAACTGTGTCAGAAATGAAGATGGAACTTCTTAAGAATAATATTTCTGACACTAATCCCCTAGATTTCTCCCTAGTTCTTTTCCCTTTGTCACAGTTATAACTGGCACAATGATTATGATGGATTGGCTGGGTACAGGAGGTGTACAAATGAAGTTAAATGGACTCAGGTTAAGGATAGCTGCCATCTGTGTGGAGCTGCGGGTCTTTGGCGCTGAGGTACTTGGGGGTTCTGTTTTCACTCTGACCCACTGAGTCAATAAAGACTGAGGACCAGAGACCAGACTCTGTAGGTGCTGCAGAGGAAGGACCAAGTCACTGACTGCACCACTCCTCCAGCCAGAGGTAGAAAGGATTTACTCTGGAGAGATTTGATAGAAACCCCAAAACAAACAAGTAGCATACAGATAAAGGGAGAGAGAGGTAGCATAGTGAATAAATTCAACCAAGCTAAAAGACAAGACCCTAAGACTGAATAGTTTTGAGGGATGGGAGGCACAGCGACTAAAGGAACAAAGTATGGGAAACTATACCTGTGGTGCCCAGGAAACCCACGATAGTTTGAAGGAAACCTTGACCGTATGCCTAGCTTTCATGGGGGTAGGAAACAGAAAATGACTAAGATATTGCACAGAGGACCCAACAATGAATTGTGGGAGATAGAGGTCTTCATATACTTTCAGTTGGAAACTGGCCAAGAGTATGATTAGGGACTCTAATAACGGACATACTAGAGACCCTCTGGCACCTCAAGCCCAGAGTGGGTCAGCAGCTCTCCATCCCAAAGAGCAAAAGCAGGCACCACCGGACCCCGGAAATCTGTCTGTAGCGTGTGGACCACAGAGACCTTGTTCACATCCACCAGGCTCAGCTTCTTGGCCTCATAGTCCAACAACAGCCCCACTTTCTCAGGTTGCCCAATACCCTCAATTGGGGCTTTCTCGTTGGCCAACATGGTGTGCCACTTGCGCTGAGCATAGGAGAACACCCAGGAACGATCATCAATACCGATGCAGCTATCCCGGGACATGTCCATGTCTGCCACTCCTATCCGGAATTGCTGGGAGCGCTTCACTGTCACCTCCCAGTAATGTCTGCCACTGGTGACCGCTGTGTCTGCCAGCACCACTGCCCACTCCCGGAAGCGCTCCACATTCAGGGCCACCTTGGTGGGTTCCAATCCTACCAAGCCATATTTGACACCTGTGTCACCTCTGAAGAGTGCCAGACTGCTGTGGGCAGTTTTTTCTTCCAGTTTGAAACTGATGCCTGCGGGCGGAGCAAAAAGACTGGATGATGACAGTGGTTAAAACCTTAGGGCTGGTGCTATATTCTGATCTGAAGCAGGCAACTCAGGAGATCACAAGGAAGCAAGGAAGAGTTGAAAGGCAAGCTGGAAGCCAGGAGAAGTTAAGCACGCCTGTAATACCAGTTAATCAGAAGGCTGAGACAGGAAGCCTGCAAGTTCTGAGCCAGCCTGGGCAACTTAGTGAAACTCTGTCTCATAAAATAAAAGGAGTTGTGGGGATATAGCCCAACAGTAGACGCCGGTGAGTTTAATCTCCAGCCCCAAGAAAAAAAGAAAAACAAGCTGGTAAGACTGGGGGTCATCATTTTAGTATAGACAGTCGAAAAACTCGGACTGGGTCAGTAGATGGGGTCTGAGGGTTAGAATTGAAAAACCAATGCAGAGGGGGAGGGGAGATGGCTAGAGAGGGTTGAAGTTGTCTGAGCAGCTTCCGGGAATAACAGCCAGAAACTTTGGGAGGCAAACGTGAGTAAAAAGTAATAATCCTACCTCTTCGGGCTTCCCCTGCGGCAGCCCCACATCGTTTGGCTCCCCAGCTGTACAAGCGCCAAGAACGTGCAAAGTGCAGCGCCATCTTACGCCACAGAAACGCAGGGCACGTATCCCTGCTACCCTACATACCCCGCCATCTGCCGACCAGTTCCCAGAGCACGTGATGCGCGAGGCGGCCGCGCAGCGTGATGACGTAAAGGAACCGACGCCCTGCGCGGAACCACCATTTCGGTGACTTCTCTCCAGTTCTGGTGCAGTTGATCCGTTTTTTCGTGGAGAAAAACGGCGCTCGTTTGAACTGACTAAAACCTTTGGAGAGAAGGTGTAGCCAGATGTTTAGAAGCATGTATTTTAGAATTAAACTAATTTTATTCGACCCCCAGCTTCACTTTGGGCCCATCTCTTAATTTCTTAGCTTCCCAGAACCTTAGCAAAGCTGAAATAATGCAACCCATAAACCTTAAGTATCACCATCCCCAGCACCGGAAAAATAAACAATTTAGAATACAGCTTGACAAATAAATGTTAAATACATAATACTGAACGGTGGGTTTGTATTTTCAAGGTTGAGAAGATTTTAAACTAATCAGTTTTCCCAGCATGACCAAAAGTATATTGGTTCAGGGTGGAGTAGGTATTAGGTAGGTGATTATGAACAGTCTACATTTAACATTTTGATCTGCTTGAGGTTCTGTGTTGCTGCTTTCTAAAGTGTTTCAATCCCTCTACTTCTCAAGGTTCTGTTGGTCAATCTGATATGAACATCCCACCTCCCTCTTCCCACCCCTCAAAAAAATAACTTTAGATCTTTGAAAGACTAAAAAACTAACCAAACTATTCCCCTTCCCCAGTTTTAACCACCATTCTAGTGGACACAGTCCTAGTTCAGGTCACGTGTATCCTAGTTCAGGTCACTTGTATCCTTAATCTCAATTAGAGTTCTCTCTCCCCACCCCACCCCCTTTTTTTTGTACTGGGGATTGAACCCAGGGGGGCTTAACCACTGAGCCACATCCCCAACCTATTTTTCATATTTTATTTAAAGACAGAGTCTCACTAAGTTGTGTAGGGCCTTGCTGAATTGCTGAGACTGGCCTTGAACTCAAATCCTCCCGCCTCAGCCTCCCTAGCTGCTGGTATTTCAGGCCTGCGCCAAGGAGCTCTGCTCCATTGATCTATTTTTTATTTGGAGGTAGGGTCTTGGTAAATTGCTGAGGTGGGCCTGGAATTTGTAATCCCCTGTCTCAGCCTCCCCAGCTACTGGGATTAATAGACATGTGGCACTCTGCCCGGCCTAGAGTTTTCTCATCATAATGTAGTTATGTACCTTCTAATGTACTAGCTTCTCTCTGTCTGGTATTCAAAATCCACACTACATTCAGAGTGCTATTTCTAAATCCCAAATCCCATCCTGCAATTCCCCTATTTAAATACTTTGATGTGCCTGCAACAAATTCCCTTTCATGATCATAAGACTTTACATGATATAACTGCTTTGTCCTACCTTCTTTGTGTATTTGTTTACTTTTTATTTATTTATTTATTTTTGTCCCAGTTCTGGAGGTGGAACCCCAGGTCTTGCACATGTTAGGCAGCACTCTACCACTTTGTGTTTGTTCTGTTTCATAAAACACAGTTCCTTCTTTCAAAGGCCTACAGTCTAACTGGGGATGGATTAGAATGTTGATTGTTGCAATTTGATGCAGAAAGTGCCATAATTACATGATGACAAGATGCTCAGGAAACAAAAGAGAAACCTCTGAATGAGTATATGGGGGATTGTTCGGGAGAGTTTCCCAAAATCATAGCTATGGCTTGAAAGGCAGAAATAAGGAATGAAAGCTCCACCTGTTCAAAATCTCAGCTAACATATTCTTTCCAAGAAACATACTGTTAAGAATGGCCGATGTAGCCTTTTGTCACTTATTGGAGATAGATTCTCAAAACATCTACCTCATATTTATTTTCTGAGTTTCAGATCTGCACATTCAGTAGCCTATTGGACATGTATACCCGATATCCAGTCACCTCAACCTCCTCCATGCCATGACTCTGAATTACCAGTTGCCTGGAAACCTGGGAGACCTTGACTTTGTGACTCTCATTTCATACTGTCATTGAGTTTCTATCACATTATTTTTTCCTGGACTACTGCATCAGTTTGCAAGGGAACATAGAAACAGGCAGCTACTATCTCAACCATTAGGCTATGAATTCTTCTGTTGCCTTCCCTCACCCTCACTCCCCCAGTACTGAGAATTGATCCCAGGGGCATTCTACCACCACTCTACATCCCCATTCCTTTGAATTTTTTAGAAAATTTTAAGCAGAGTCTTGCTAAATTGCCCAGACTGGCCTAGAACTTGGAATCATCCTACTTGCACCTCCCAAGTAGCTGGGATTACAGGTGTGTGTGTGTGACCATACCTTTTAGGCTGTGGATTTTTAAGAATGGAAATTAAATCTTTTGTTCTCAGAGCCTCAGGGCTTCAGCATTCCCCTTGGCACAGAATATATGCTCATTGTTTAAGGATGAATAAATGACTACTAAGCATAAAGGGAGAGAGTTTTGTCAGTATCTGAGGAGTGTAGTGACACATTATCTCCACTAGGGGACAGGCTGGC